ATTGGGGAGTAATATGTATGTACCTTTTTTTTTTTTTTTTCTGTCTCTCTGTGTGTGCATGCTTCTCTGCTTGGATTTCTTAATTCTACTTGTCTTTGGGGAGAGGCTGACCGCTGCTATTCGTGTGTATGCGTGTGCATCTGGAGCCGCGTTGAGGTGGCGCATCATTTTTGTTTTTTACTTTCTAATTCTTTCAGTGGGAAGGGGGCGGTTGCGTGCGTGCGATTGTTTTTATATTAATTGGTTTATTGTGTGGCAGATTTTTGGAACCAAGGGAAAAAGAGACCAAGAAAGAACCCTAGAAGGGCACACAGAGTGCGTGGGAAGCCACGGGGAGATTTAAACAGCTTAGAATACGGTATGAGGATAACAGGAGGAATAATATAAATATAAATTAGTCATGCATCCGAAGTGCAATCTTCCTTTGAGCCGTTCCCTTCCCCTTGTCTGCATCTGCTCACTATTCAGTTTTCTTTCTGGCGTCGGCATTGGCGCGAACGATTTAAGTGCGAATTTTGCCATGGTGGTAGGGAGCGGCTCCCTTAATATGCGTCAGGCAGTTTTCTACTGCACGGTATTTGAGTTACTTGGCGCCGCCTTCATGGGTGGGCATGTCAGTGGGACGATTCGCAAAGGGATTGTTGATCCTGCGTTGTTCACTCTGGATCGAGACATGGTGCTCATTGGCATGACATGTGCAAGTTTTGCGGCAGCTGTATGGCTTTATCTTTCCACTGTACTTGGGCTGCCCGTGTCGATCACCCACACGGTGGTGGGATCCATCCTTGGATTTGCCGTCTTCTCTAGTGGCTCTTTCCAATACGTGCAGCCACGCGGCGTTGTAAAAATTTTGGTTTCATGGCTGCTCGCTCCTCCGGTTGCTGGGGCTGTGACGGCGGGTATATTCTATCTTCTCCGCAAGTACATATTGACGGTTAAGGGACGTTCCTTTCAGAACGCCTTGTGGTCGCTGCCGTACTGTCTGTTGTTTTCCCTTCTCATTGACCTTATGTTTGTTGTGATTGAGCAGCCACCCGTTATCACTGTGACGATTGCAAGATTTCTGCCCGTCGATGTGCAATATCTTTTTTTTCTTTTGGCAATCCTTTTGGCCTGCTGGATTGCTTCCACCGCGGTCTTTCCACGCCTAGCGGAGGAGTCATGGAAATTGAAATCATTTGTCTGGGAGTCGGAGGTGCTGCGCACGGAGGAGGAGGATGCCGAGTCAAGAGCCGCGGCACGCTGCACGGAGACCGAAGGCGGCAATGGGCGGATGCCACAATCTTTTTTTGCTTCTACCGATCATGGGACGGCGGTTTCCGAGATCCATGCGGAGAATACTAGGAGTGTGCCCCTGCCACGGAAGGTCGCGGCACTTATGCACGATTTCGGTAGCTTTTTCCTGTCGACATTGGGCTCGGTTAGGGTGCAGTTGCTTCCTCAACATAGCGTCCGGGCCGCACCCGTGACGCGCAACTCGATTCATTCAACGTCTTTTCCAAAGAAGGGTGAGGCGCAGTCCATGGCGTCGACGTCCACTGTCTCCTACGGCGCGGTGGCGAATGTGGAAGATGAACCGAAGGCATCTGTTGACGTGGGTTTGAACGATGAGTTTATGGAGGAGGACTGGGGGTTGGACCGCCCGATGCAGCCGATAAACTTCCGTGGAATTGGTATTAAACCATTTAATCCACGAGCGGAGTACCTGTTCACCGCGCTGCAAGTTGTCGCGGGCAGCATGTCTAGTTTTGTGCACGGGGCTGTGGCTGGGGCGAATGCAACCGCCGCCTTTGTCATTTTTTACGAAACCTTTGCGGTGTCGGAGCTTGGAGAGGAACCGCTTGGCAGCAGCTGGGCTGTGTTGCCAGCAATGCTGGGCATTGCCATCGGCATGTTCACGCTGGGGACACGTTTGATGAAGACTGTCGGAGTGGAGTTGGTGACTGTGACCCCGGCGCGTGGGTGGTGTATTCAGGCTGGCAGTACCCTTGTCACGATGATTCTCACGGGCATCGGAATTCCCGTCTCGCTGTCACAGGCGCAGGTGGGTGCGGCCATTGGGTGCGGCCTGCTGGACGCACGGACGAGGGGTGTAGAGTGGGGCATCGTATTGAAGATTGCCTGCGGGTGGGTGGTGACGCTCGCGATAAGCGCTGTCACAACAGGCGTCTCCATGTGGCTGTTGGCCTTCTTTTACTGCGCCTAACTGTGTGCGTGCGGGGCGGAAGAATGTGTTGCACTTATCAACGAATGCTGTGTGCTCTGTGCGCCGATTGACTTTTGTGCTGGCGGGAGGGCCGGCGGCCCCCACTTTGTTTCCCCGCCTCTGCGTCATCCCTCTTCATCTTCCTGTGTTCCCCTCTCAGCCTTCGGGCGTTGCTGTGAGGGATCATCAATTCAAGTTTCAAGGAGAACCAAAAGAAGCAAAGGACACCGTGGACGGCGAAGTAAAAGACCCGCAAGTTTTCTGAGTGTTTGCTCCCCAACACGATACGCGATTGTTATAATTGACATTTTTGTTTTTGCCGCGCCCCAGCTAACAACGCCATCAAATGATGTTGTTGGGCGTGACTGCCCCACGGCTGGCGGGTGCTATTCGTCGCACTGCAGGCGACGCGGCTGCCGCCGGGGGGCCGCGCACCCAGCTGCCGTTTCTTCGTAAGGTGGTGCGGGATGCGCTTCGCTCTCCCAACACCCATCAGAGCACGACGCCGTTCAGGCCGTATCCTCCGCTCGGCGCCGGGGAGGAGAAACAACGGAGGAGCGGAGTGATTTACAAGGACACGCAGTGCATCGTCGTGAACGACGCGTTCCCCAAGTCACGGCTGCACTGTCTGGTTCTGCCGTTGGACCTTTCTTTACACTCCCTCAGTGCCTTGCGCATTCAACATGTCCCACTACTGCGCCATCTCATGGACGTCGCGGATCGCTACGTGCAGTTTCTTCGGAAAGACGCCTCGGGGAGCGATTTTGCGTCGCTGTCGTTTGCCACCGGCTTCCACTCGCTCCCGTCACTGCCCCATCTGCACATGCACCTCATTTCCCTGGACTTTGATAGCCCGTACCTGAAGAAGAAGAAGCACTACAACAGCTTTGCCACTCCTTTCTTTCTTCCCGCCGACAGCGTTGTGGAGGACTTGGAGCGAAACAAGTGCATTACGTTGAACCAAGACGTGGTGGGACTGAAGCGCATGGAAGAACAGGAACTGAGTTGTCTTTGGTGCGGCCGTGTCGAGGCGGGGATGCCGCAGCTGAAGGCGCATCTTCGCACGTGTCCCAAGAGCCGCGCCTTTTTGAATTCAACCGACGCAAAATGACCGTTTGGCGGGTGCAGGAATAGTCGGAACGTTTTTTTGGTACCGCATCGGAGAAATACCGAGAAATTGCGCATGGTTTGCCGTCAATGGGGTGATTTGGAGGGTGTACGACCGTCGCTGTTGATGTTTGTTGACAACAAAATAATTATGGTTGCTTCTGTGGCGGGCGCTGTGCCGTCTTTCATTGGATTTTTTTTTTCTCTTCTTTTCTCTTTTTCTTTTTACACGGCCGCAGTTTTTAGGAGGGGAAAGGAAAGGAAAGGGGTGGACGGGCCGTGTGTGTGTGTGTGTGCCTGGGCCTTTTTTCCCCCACACTCGCCTCGCCAGTCTCTCTGCCGCTCTGACCGTGTGGGTCGTTGCACTGGGCGCATGCAGCCTCAGAGCTCGGTGTTTCGTCATCGCGCTCGGCTCCATGAGGAGGCGGAGAACAGCCGCGCGAATGCGGGTGTGATCAGCGAGGCAACGGAGGAGGAGAACAACGAGATCATGCGCGCCCTTTTGGGCGATGTGCGCTCCGTGCGGCACAAATTCACCGCGATGGGCGAGGAGGTGCGGCGCCAGAACACACTACTTGAGAGTCTTGACGCGGTTTTTGCCCGCACACGCGTGCGTCTGGGACGGACGCTGCGTCAGTTGGATGTGGCGGGGGTGACGAGTGTCACGCACATGTGGGTGTTGTTTGTGTTTGTCATTGTTGTCTTTATGCTGATATACTTCATGCTGAAGTTTGGCTGATGTCGTACATGCGTCTTGGAGCTGACGTGCATGCATTCTTTCTCTCTTTTTCTCCCTCCCTCTCTCTCTCTCTGTGTGTGTGTGTGCGGGAGGGGGCACTTGACGAGGCCGATGCGCCCTCCACACGAACACGTGTTTGACTGCCTCTTCCCTTCACTCTCTTCTTGTCTGACCGAACAGCAATAGGGTGAGAGAAAAAAAAAACAACAACACAAAAACACAAAAAGGTGGCGTTTTCTTCTTCCGTTTTTATATAAAGCAGTGAACTGTTTATTTATTTGTATTTATTTTTTCGAAGAGCAACAGCAACAACAAAAGCAGCGGCAGCGGCAGCGGCAGCGGCAGCAATTTAACTTAAAAATCAAAAATATTAAATTAATATTTCAACTACTTTTAACCAACGAGGAGGAGGAGAAAATAAAAAAAAAAAAAAAAAAACAAAAAAAAAGAAAAAAGAAAAAAACGATCACAACTTTAAAAAAAAAAAAAATCCAACTAAACTCACTACTGTCATATAAAAAATACCAAAAAATACCCCCCCCCCCTCCCCCAGATTGGAGTAAAGAAGGAAGTAAAACTTCTGTTATCTTTTTTTAGGGCATACCGTCGCTGGGGAGAAACTGAGAGGAGGGGAAATTAAATTAACCGCAAATTTGAACCTCAACGAAAGAAAAAAGGAAAAACAAAAGGAACCAACAATCAACATTGAAGGATAGAGGGGGAGAGGGAGAGAAAAGAAAAAACAAAAAAAGTAGAAAAGTGAGAGGGGGAAGGAAAAAAAGAGTGGGAGGAGAATAACAGTGAGAAATAAAGAAGTCAAGAAAATAAAGGCTTTTGGTTTTCTTTTAGAATTATATATATATATATCATACCGGCTTTTTTTTTTTTTTTTTGCCTCTCTCTCTGTGTGTGTGTGTGTCTGCATTGATTGAGGCCACTGAATTCACGATGGCTTCCTTTTGGTTTATTCAGTTCAGGGCCTTCCTCTGGAAGGTTTTCCTGCAGCGTTGGAGGGCACCGGTGTCGACTCTTGCCGAGCTGCTGCTGCCTTGCGTTTTTACGCTTCTTCTGGCCTTGGGCTACTGGTTTTCCACGACAACGAAGGTACCCGTTACAGATTATTCTGGAACACAACCGATGGATATGTCGTCGTTGCTTCCGGCCTTTTTCTGTCAAAACATGTCAAGCCCACGTCCGTTTGGCCGCAGGTTACACGTAGGTCCATGCGGACCGGCAGGGCCAAGTACCATGTGTTTCCCTTTTGTGCGGGATGGGGCTCTCTGCGTGCGCGACCGTGGGACTTTTTCTAAGGTTATGTTTGGTGTGTACTATGCCTCAGGCCCTATTAAGGTCCCTACCCTGGATGCCTATCTTGCACTGTCTGCATTCGTGTCGCACGAATCGCGGAGAACGGGTTCCACGTTTTTCAGCCGCTCGGCACAGGCGAGTTTGTCACATTATGGAGACCTTCTGGTGGCTGGGAAAGACGGGGACACATCCTTTGCCTCGGGGTTTGTCAAATATTGCAGCGATGTCAGCGCTCTTTGTGCCGAGGTGGTGCATAAGGATCGTGTTTTCCCAACGTTAGCCGAAGCGGAGAAGTTTGCCCTGAAGCATGACGACAGGGTCTGGGCCATTGTGGAGTTGCCTACTCCCCTTCCAGGATCGCCAGCAGCGGCAGGGGTGGAAGGAACCATATTCTCCATTAGCATGAACTATACCGCCACCCCATGGACGTTTGAATCAAAAATGCAGTTTTTCAAGGGGTTGGGCGATAACGACTATATGTTGTACGTGGCAAGCGGATTTATGACGCTGCAGAATGTTGTACAGCAATTCTACGCGCGTTATCGACTTGACAAGGCGCCCCCGCCACCTCCATCTGGAGCCAATGCCACAGGCATTTTTGAATTTGTTAACCTTCAAGGACCACCGCTGATACCCATGCCAGCTCCGCCATATGTCGACAACAGTTTTTACTCTCGCTGGGCATACTTCATGCCGCTTGTGGCGATGCTTGCTGCTCTCTTCCCAGTGACGAAGCTTGTGAGTTGGATCGTTGAGGAGAAGTCACTCAGAATTCGAGAAGCCATGCAAATTATGGGACTTCGCTGGTCATGTATGGCACTTGGGTGGTTTATCTCTGCATTCTTGATGGATTTTGTTGCCTCGCTTCTCGCCGCCATGGTTTTCCGGCTCAGTTTTTTTAGTTACGTGAACTTTGGCGTGCTATTCTTTCTCTATTTCAGTTTTATGCAGCAGAACACCGCCCTGAGCTTGTTTTTGAGCTCTTTATTCACCAATCCTCGGATTGCGGGGGCAGTTGGGGCTTTGTGCATTTTCCTTTGCAGTATGCCGTACTACTCATTTCCTGATGGTATGAGCATGCTGCGGCTCGTGACGATGAGTTTCGTTCCATGTGTCGCCTACGCCAAAGCCTTCGATGAGCTTGCCAAGTATGCCTCCTTTGGCTACAAATTCACGTGGAAGAATACACGGGTTGGTGACTACAACGTTGCCATGGCGATTGGACTGATGTGGGCATCCTCAGGCATTATGTGGATTTTTTGGATTTATTTGGATCAAGTGTTGCCGTCTTCGATTGGTCGTCGCAGACATCCCTTGTTTTTCCTTTCGTGGGTTCGCAAGTTGTTTCCCTGCTGCTTCTGCTGCTGTGACCGCGAAGGTTCTGAAATTAGCGAAAAAGACTTACAAAACACGAGGAAATTCTCTAATGGACTTGCGTCTGCTTCTGTAGGGACACTTCCGCCGCATGACGGGAAGCCCGTCGACGAGGAGGTAAACTCCCATGCGGTGGTATTTCGTAAACTTCACAAGGTGTATGAAACCGGGGGCATTATTGGATGGCTGTACCTTTTTCTTACGGGGCTGCGCCGTGATGGGGATCGCCGTGAGGCAGTACGCGATGTTTCTTTTAATATGGATTTTGGGAAGATAAATGCACTGCTCGGCCCCAACGGTTCCGGCAAAACAACTCTGATGGGTATTGCCACTGGCATGGTGACACCCACGAGTGGTGACGTTTACATATGCGGCCACAATGCGGCATATAAACTGCACAAGTGCCGAGAGCATATTGGGTACTGCCCACAGTCGGATATTGTGTGGAATCGACTGACAGTGGAGGAGCATCTCACTTTCTATGCCCGCATGAAAGTTAGTGGGGGATGGGACGTACGGGAACAAGTGGACGCTATCGTCGCCAGCATGCAATTAGAGGAAAAGCGTCATTGCATTGCAAAAAGTCTATCTTCTGGTCAGAGGAGGCGCTTGTGCGTTGGCATAGCCCTAATTGGGAAACCTGATCTCCTTTTCTTGGACGAACCAACAGCCGGGATGGACATGCGAGGCAGAAAGGCGGTGTATGACGCGCTCCAGAAGGGCCGTGACACCCGTGCGGTCATGGTTTCAACCCACCTGCTGGATGAGGCAGATCGTATTGGGGACAAGATCCTCCTCATGCATGAGGGCGCTCTGTGTGGTGCGGGGTCATCCTTGTTTTTGAAGTCTAAGATGGACGTTGGGTACGTTGTGACATGCGTGGTGGAGAGCTGTTCCTCTGAGATGGAGGAGAATATTTGCATCAGCCGTCTCACGGAATTTGTACGTGAAAAGTCATACCCCGGGCATTCCCGTAACATGTCTACAGAGCTGCATTCCATTTCCACAAAATGCAAGCTGCTGGGTATCGAGCGCCGTGGCCGCGAGATATCATTTCGTTTTCCACTATCTTTGCTCTCGGCTTCAGGAAGCGCCATCATCCGTGCCCTGGAGGAGGAGCGGGAGGCACTTTGCCTGCGCAGCATTGGCTTGAGTCTGACGACACTGCAGGATGTTATGGAGTATCTGACAAAAAGGCAACCATCAACGATGGCTACGGCGCCCTCAAATGAGCCACTAACTGATAAAGCGACGGAGCATGGAATTTCCATCCAGATAGAGGGTATGGGCTCGAACCAAGGGTCTTGTTTCGGTACGGCCGTTGGCTGCGAGATGAATAGAGACAACAGCAGCATGTCGCTTCTGAATGAGACCCGCAATTTGCATGATGAGAGTGAGTACTACAATCCGCATAGGCAGTCATTGGCCAGACACTTTGCCGTACTTTTTATGAAACGTGTACACTGCGCCAAGAGAGACCTTCGTCTCGTCGTGTTTCAGATTCTCTTACCTGTGGTCTTCCTCAGTCTTGCCCTTTTGACAGACCTTATGAGTCCACCGAAGCAGCCGGCACTCACCCTTGACGCGTCACTGTATCCAGGTTACGACACCCAGCCGTATTCAGAGGTCATGTGGACAGTCTCATCTAAATTTCCAGACGTATTTGATGTGGAGAGAAGTAATATGTCTACTGCTTTTGGACCGTATTACACGCCTATCAGGGCCAAATGCGATGTGGAAAATTGCAGTCAGCCACTCTCTGCTGAGCTGATCCCTGATATAAGGACACATCCAGCTACCCGTTATATCGCACTTGCCCTTACAAGCGCACAGGGAAAAAAAGGCACACCGACTTCTATTCTTATGCACAACGTCTCCGCCCGTCACTCAGCGCCTCAGTCCCTTAATGCACTTTATAATGTCGTCAATCACCAGTTGTTTGGTCAAGGCTCAATGACAACTGCGCGGAATGTGCCTATGCACGTGGGACCATTTGAACAGAAAATGGTAAGTGCATTCCGGCGTGTTATATTTGGGATCTTTATCCTTTTGCCCTTCACATTTATCCCAAGTAACACTGTCAGTTTTATGGTAAGGGAGCGTCAAAGCGGTTCTCGACACCTTCAGTGGCTTGCGGGTGCAAATGTTGTTGCATTCTGGCTGAGTTCCATGCTATTTGACTTCTGCTGCTACCTTGTGACCGAGGCGCTTGCGATGATCATCTTTGTCATATTCAAGCGAACGGAATTTATTGGTGAGCCTAAAACAGTGGTGGCATCCTTGACACTCTTTACGGTGTTTGGAATCAGTTCCGTTCCATTCAGCTACGTTGTCAGCTTTTTTTTCAGTTCCCCTTTTGTCGCCCAGGGCGTTGTTCTTATCGCAAACTTTGTTCTTGGATTCTTGTGGGTCATGGGAGAGCAGATTATTGGCGGGATCAAAGAGCTGGAAACTTTTGTGACGCGCACGACACACGTCCTGCGTGTCATCCCGTCCGTTTCTTTTGGTGAAGGTATATTCACCTTGTCAGGTGTGGAGCTGGCGAATATGATGTTTCCTGAACGAAAGCGACCAAATCTCTTTGACAAACTTGAGTTTGTTGAAGGCAAGTTCAGGGGCGGCATTGGAACGGCTCTCATTTACATGTCATGCACCCTTGTCGTCTCCCTCTTGTTACTGGCCCTGCTTGAGTACGCACGCATACAGCGTGTCAAGTGGTTTTTTACCCGGATGTCATGCAGTAAGAGGAAGAACAAGAAGTCGTCGAATCAAAACGCTGACGCGCCACCGTCTGCGCCTTGCATTTGCCATCAGCGTGAGGCGAATATGAATATTGATGCTTCCGTCGCACGGGAGGAGGAGGAGGTTTGCCGCAACGAGACAGGCCGCATTGAGGATTGTATCACACTTCAGCACATCACAAAGAAATATGGCGGTACCCACCGGCCTGCTCTTGACGACCTCTCGCTCGGTGTCCACAAGGGCGAAATTATGGCCTTGCTGGGTCTCAACGGCGCCGGCAAGACTACGGCGGTCGGTATTTTGGCTGGTGAGGTGGTCCCGACTTCGGGTTCAGCGTACATTAATCATCTTTCTGTTCTCCGCTCCGCCTCGCGCAGCTATGTCGGTTACTGTCCACAGAAGGACGCTCTTATTGACCACTTGTCGCCGGGCGAACACCTGAGGCTCTACGCAGGTCTGCGTGGTGCCACTGACAAATATATCCGTAAAGAGATTCCCAAACTACTCGATGCGCTGGGCCTCACGTCACAGAAGAACACCCCGGCGTACTCGTTGAGCGTTGGAAACAAGAGACGTCTCTCACTTGCCGTGGCCCTGGTTGGTGGTACCACGAGTGTGCTGCTCGACGAGCCTACTGCTGGCATGGACGCCACCGCCCGCCGGCAAACGTGTGCTGTGGTCAGACGACTAACGCGGGCAAAATCTGTTATTCTCACAACGCACCTGCTCGATGAAACGGAGGCTCTTGCAGACCGTGTTGCCTTTATCTCAAAAGGGAAGCTGCGATGTGTTGGGACGCCACAGGAGTTGAGAACACATTACACGAACGACTCCGTTTACACCGTGCGCGTGGTGTTCGCTGATGGTTGTGGGGCCATTGATGCCACCGGCGACGTCATGAAACGCCTACGTGAGTTATTCCGGACCTCCTCTTCGACGGAGGGGGAAGAATGCGTCTTGGAGGGCGTCGTCGGTCGCACTGTGACCCTGTTGGTGCAGCAGAGCCTTTCGCAAATTTGCAGCGTTGCAAGTGAAATCCGTGAAGGAGGATTGGAGGGGCTTCCACCGGTGGTTCAAGTGAGCGCGACGCAGGCGACGCTGGAGGACATTCTGCTGAGCATCTGAATTTTTTCCACAGCGAAGTAGGAAAGGTAAATACCCACACACGTCCGCATGCTGTAAGTCTCTTTGTTTTTGTTTCGGGGGGAACCGCGCCGGGGGCTGACTGAAATAATTAAGGGAACGGAAGGAAGAAACGTGCTGCGCCACCGGAGGGGGGAGAGTGACTGGTATCTCCACCGAAAAAGAAAAAAAGTAAACAACAAAAAAAGAGTAAACGAAGGATCCATCGAGAAATGGGGGTGGGAGGGGCAAATTTTTAATTTTTAATTTTTATTTTTTATTTTTTATTTTTTATTAATTGTCATTTTGGCTTTGAAACCAAGGAGAAAAAAGGGGTTTGGTGGTGTGTGTGTGGGGCAACGGAAGAAAATAAAATCGGTGACGAAATAAGCCGCTAAAAACGACGGCGAGTAGTGGAGGAAGTGCATCGATGAAAAAAATGCGTGTATTGGGGATATTGTCACTGGGGAGTTTTTTTTATTGGAAAGGGAAAGAGGGGTGCGAATGAAAAGTAACAGATGTGGGCGTCCCGTACGACGTCTCCCGCGGGTGCGCCTTGGGCTTTTTAGCCTTTTGGACTGCGTGGCTGCTGCAAGGGGCACATTGTTATCGTATTTTCTTTGTCCTATATATATATATAAATATGTTTGCCCGAACATATTTGAGGACTCGCATGACGGTATGATGTGTCACTGGGCTTCATGGCGTTAGAACTGTTTCCCCCGACAAGATGGGGCAATTGGCCCTGGCGTACCACGCTGAGACGGCCGGGGGGATTGTTAGGGGATCTTTTTTTTGTCTGCGTCACATTCATTCTACCAGTCGAAGGCACGCATCGACCGTGGGAATGAAGGAACGGAGGAAGAACAGGAGAATTTCTTTCTGTTGGGTGCGGAGGGATGCGTGTTTGTGTTTGTGCGTGTGTACTGTTGGGAACACTCTTTTTTTATTTTTTTCCCTTCTGCCTTTTCTTCTTTTAGTAGCAGCAGTTCGAGCACGACTGAGTGTTTCTGTTGCGGCGAGGACACAACGACACCCCCATCTGAATTGGCGCTTTGCCCCGTTCGTCTGTGGTGACGGGGGTCCTTTTTACCCGTTTTGGCCACCGGCGACTTTCAATTCGTGGACGAGTGGCACTCGATTTTGTTTCCTGTTTTTTATTCATTTGGTTGTTTTTTTTCTCTGCGTGTGTTTGATTGAATTTATTCGTGGGCGTGGGCGGGATGACAAGAAGGTGGGATGCTCCTCCGGGCCCCGCTGCGCGCGTCACGGGCGACTCGACTCGACTGATTTCGTCGGACCTCTTATGCCCCTCGGAAGAGTCGGCCCAGCGACAACGCCGGTATGTTGCCCCAGGGCACGCCATCCCCGATGGTGCGGGACAAGCGGGCAGCCAAAACCAGCAACCGCATTTTCGTCAGAGTTGCCCTCGACCTGTAACGCAAAACTTGGTTCCGCCCGCCCCACACGTGGCGCCCAGCACTGGGCGACATCAAGATCTACCGCATGATCATCCCTCCCATTCTCGTGGAAATTATGGCGTGGAGGAGAACAGGAGGCATGTATGCATTCGTATGTTTCTTCCGCCATCATTTCCGGATACAAACGCGCGTGGAGAAAAAAAGAACCGTGAGCTGCGTTCTTGGCGTGACTTACCGGCAAACCCTCTCAATGGACTTCCCGGGTTGGCAACCCAGGTGATGCCCGTAGATCGTGAGGAATGCAATTTTTACTGCGATGCCTGCCAGAAAGGGTTTCTTTCCCAAGAGCGATACGACGGGCATATGATGGACCATGTCTGGTGTACCATGCCAGGCTGCCGCTTTACTTGTCTAAAGGGCAAGGAGTGGAAGATGGAGATGCATATGGAGACGCTTCACAATCGTCCGGATGCACCCAATCTTGCGGACGTTGGAGCGTATCTGTCACAACGAAGGCAGCGTTTTCCCACACAAGATGCGGTGAAATCAAAGGTAGAGGAACTATTTTACAAGGCATCCAGGGGAGTTATCATTCCGGACGAACGTCGGCGGTGGCTGCGCCAGCATGGCGTCTTGGTGAAGAAAAATCCCCGAACAGAGGAGACATATATTGATTCGGATGCACTACGACGGCCCGCAAATGCCGCAACAAATAAAGCAGTTGAAGGACACCAGGGACAAAAAGAACAACAACAACAACAACAGCAGCAGCAGCAGAACGACGAGGAAAGTGGGGAGAAGGAGGAGAACACGGAGATGAATGTTCCACCGGTTTCCATTAAAAATCCACATGAAGAGGGGATTACTGTAAAGGAAAATCCCTCGGTGGCAGCGCCAAACCCTTCAGCCCACGGCCGTCCAAAGCGGATTATTCCTCTTGGCCCAAACGGTACCCTGACACGAGGCCAGAAGGTGCAGCTTATTCGTGACAGATATCGTGATGCAAAGACCGTTCCTCGCTTCTACGTGTGTCACCGCTGTGGGGAGAAGGGCAACCATTGGGTTGACGAATGCCCCAAGAGGGACGACGAGAACTTTGGACGGCAAACCGTTTGGGGTGAGGAGCGTCTTGAGCCGGCACGGCAGAAACACCGCACGGAGGGCGAAAAGGAAGAAGAGAAAGCAAAAACAAAAAACATAAATGAGAATGAGGGACAAATGGAGGACATCCCTTCACTCCCAGGAGGTGGTGGGAGGAACACAAAAGGCAGCACGACAGCTTTTTGCGAAGGAAAGGACCTGGCGGAGGATGACGGGACCTTGGAGATTGTGGAGGATGACGGTGACCCGCCGGCCGAATCGTCTGCGAGGAGGGACGACGCCGCGGGAGACTCAACAAACCCGACGACGGAGGTCAGCCGAATGTTGGCGCCTGTTGCCGCCGCCACCCTAACGGAAAAAAAGGGGAAAGCACAACAGAGGGTATCGTCACGATCTCGCACTCGGCCGCCCCCGCCACCCACACTGTATGAGCGTCTGGTGGAATCCCGAAAAGCGAATGAGCAGGGCCTTCTTCTTCAGGCCTTTCGTTTTTTTGTCATGCGTAGATTTTTTGAGCCGCTGTGAAACGACGCATGTCACCTATGCTTCTAAGGGTGACTGCAGCGGCATCTACATGCCACACAATTAATTATTACCACGTTGCCCGCCGGTGGAGGGTGTGGTGTGTACGCGCGGTTGAAGGAGAAAAAAAAAAAAAAAAGGGAAATCAGACGAAAAAAAAAAAAAAAAAAAAAAAAGAAAAAAAGAGAAAAAAGGTAAGGAAAGCGTAAATTGTGAGTCTATCTATCTATCTATCTATTTATCTATCACTCTCTCTCTCTCTCTCTCTCTCTATATATATATATATATATATATATATATATATATATATATATATCCGTATGGATGGATACATTTTTTTTTTTTGGTGCGGGCCGATTTCTAAACACTTTTTCTTTTTTTTTTTTTTTTTTTATTTTCTAATTTTCTTCTCTTGTGCATTTCCCGATGCGGTCGTTGTGGAAATCGTCGGGGCGTCACTGCCCTTCCCACGCGGGACGTCCTTCTTTTGTTCTTGCATCCAGCCTTCCTTCATCTCCTTCTTTTTGTTTACCCCCGACCCCCGCGCTTTTTCTTCGGCGCACGTGTGTGTCTGTTAGGAGGGGAGTTACAAGTCGTTGTTTTGCGGCCCATCGGACACGGCAGTCAGAAGGGCAAAAAGAAAAAAATAATAATAAAAAATAAAATAAATCAGCGAAGGCAACAATCGCAAAAAAGACAAACACACACAAAAGAGAACAACAACCAAAAAGAGAAGGATAAAACAAAGAACGGAGGTTATATCCAGTGCGTCACCACCGCCATGCCGACGGAAGTTGTAAACGCCACAAACGGTCCCTGTAGGACCGAGCTGATGGGGCAGCTCATCAGCAACTGTGGCTGCTCGACAGGCTCGGCATCAAGACCCTCGTCAGCCGTTAGCGCTGTGAACCGCCTTGTGGCGTTTGTTGACGCCGACAGCTCGGCATCAACGACGTGCAGCACAGCAGATGCCGGTGCATCTGTTTTTCTTCCGCCGTCGACCCGCATATCCTTTGACTTCATTGGAGTGTTTGGGGTAACGAACGAGATGCTTGAGGAGCTGTACGATGCGTTTGATGTGAATCGACGCGGTGGCGTGGAGCGTTCTCTGATGCGTGAGATGATGAAATCCGGCTTCTCCAATTACGGTGCGCCTTGTGGCGATAAGGACATTGACCGGTTGTTTGAGCGCATTGTGCCGTACAGCGTCCGTCGCCGGAAGGAGGAGAGCAACGAGGATGAGGATTTGATGTCGTTCAATGAATTCTGTGCTCTTTTTTTGTCGTGGCTGCGGCTGTGAGCCGGCTGTGGGCGTGGGTGGTCCGCAGGAGGAGGGCGGAAAACTGAAAGGAAGAAGAGAATGAAAAAAAAAAAAAAAACAAAACAAAAAAACAAAACGAAAAAAAAAATCACAACGGGTGGCTGCGGAGCGCAAAGTAAATGCACGTGCACCCAAACGAAAGAGGAGAGGAATAGGAATATGTAAACAGGAAATTTGAAAGCGTGTGGTGTGTGTGTGTGTGTGTGTGAGGCGCACGGCAAGCTCACGTACGACTGCAGCGAGCTGAAGCAAAGAAGGGGGAGTCGGAGACGAACCGGGTGAACCCGGGAGGGAGAAAAAAAGAAAAGAAAAAAAAAAGAGAGGGGGGAGAGGCTCTCTGCGATGTAGAGTGATGAAAATAATGAGAATGTATTAAAAGAACGAGGAAAACGTCTTCTTCAAACACAAACAAACAAACAAAAAAACAAGCAGGCGACTTCTCAGATGTATTGAAGTGACAAGTGATTATTATTATTATTAATATGGTTTTTCCTTCCCTTTTTTCTTTTCTTTATTGACTGTTTTTTGAGGTGCGGTGATATTTTTTTTCTCTTCTTGTCACGCCAGTTGTTCTGTTGGTCATTAGCATCCGATTTTGATTCCTTTTTTCTTTTTTTCTTTTTTACGCATTTTGTTTT